CACAACTTAGGATAAAATTCCATGATTGAGTTTTAGACAAGGGAGGTATAAACCCATAACTCAAAGTCAGAGTTTTGCGGGAGGAGAATTTTGAGTTGTACCACACAACCTCAAATTCTCACGATACCTCACTTAGGCTAAAGACACGAAGATTCAAATCCGATTCTCAGGGTCGAGGATCTTCAAAAATTCCACCCACCTACCCAGCTGGGCGCAGGATCGGCTTGACGTCAGCGGTAATTATACCGAGACGCAAACAGAGCGGATCCCCGCCCGGGCTCCCCCAAATAGACTTCAACCTCAGCCATAAGAATGAGCCGAGGTTGAAGATCAAAACCTGAATATGAAAACATAAGCATATAAACAAGTTTTGATTTAATGTATATCTTATTAACAAAACAGAGTTAATAGATATACATAAAACTTCTTACCATACGAGTAAGAAACTCAGAGAATGGATTGGTTGTCATCATAAATCATGTGTGAATCACATTCAAGGACGAAAAAACTATTTCAATTGATCTTTATTTCTATGTTTGTTTTTCCTAGAATAAAATTTTAACAAGAGTAATAAAGGTCAATCAGGAAGTTGGTGATGACCTTGCATGGATATTCTCACAAAGAAATTGAATGCCAGATGTGTAATGAGGAGTGGATGATCAGGGTCAAGAAGTTCTTTTTCCTCAACTACTGGTCTATATATAAGTGTGGACAGTGCCCACCTGCACTACAGTGTAAGTTCAACATTCCAAACTTGGGAACAATACTGTTACAGTCACATCCAGTTTTTCAATTATCAGAATGTGTCCAGACCCTGTTAAATGTAATTCAATCATGTAGCAGTCATCAAAAAGCGAGCTGTATTGAAGAATACTGGACCCATCAATTAGTAGCTCATCCAAGCAAAGCCTGACAATGTCACACACATAATCACATTGCATCACAACCGGAAGCTTGAACTTGCCTCAAGGTAATGAATCATCAAAGTCTTGAATTTCATCTTTGACTATGATTTTTGTTTTTTTGAACCCACAAAAACTGGTGAATGTGATCAATTCTGTTACTGAGACCACTTTGTCTTGGTTCTCACACATGCCATCATAGCAACAACACTTAGTGAAATAACAATCAAGGTATACAAATATGGTTCTGGAGATTTGCTGAAGGGTTTTCCCAGAACACCAGAAACTTTTTTTGGTTGTGTTCTGATGTTATGGTGTTCTGAAGCTTTGAATAACCAACACTGTGTATTTTCCAGAACACCAGGAGGCTTCTGGTGTTCTGGAAAAACTTGTCTGGAAATCTCCAGAACAATATTTGTATACCCTAAATTAGCATACACATTCAAAGTTGGGTATACCACTGCTCAAAGCGGGTGGAATTGTTTGCCTTGTAAAAAGGGCAAGCAAAATCATTAACAAGTCCCATTTGTTCAGCTCGAGGGGAAGTAGTGCTGATGGTGTCCTGCTAGTTAAATGGTTGAGTGAAGCTACCAACCAGCCACTAATACTGTGCGTAACAGTATTTACATGGAATCAAATTTGAGGCGGGTAAGAAGGGGGAAGATGATATGACTGACGTTGTTATCAGCATCAGATGTAATTTTGACACATAAAGCTTGAAGAGTGGTGTTAGTGTAAATGGCAGCCAAGCCCTTTGGAACATTCTGAGACTTGGTGGACTGTTGAGCGCTGAAATCAAGGGTTGTTTTCAGAACAGTTTGGAGGCAGTCGGGCTTGGCTTTGCCACCAAGGAAGTGGAGCATGTCATCCATAATCAGGTGGGCCTCCACCCCTTAGCACGCCTTGAACCTTGGGTTGCATTTACAAAGAGACTGGAAGAAATAAATCCCTTCCCTGAGCAGCGCGCCAGAGCAAAAGGCCCCGCGCAAAGCGTCCAAGCAGGTCTAAGCATCTCATCTCGGGTCGCCGGAGGGCGGATTAGACACTCCAAGTAGCTCCAAGTTCGCTCATTTGGAATGCTTGAATTCCAAATCCAAGGATATCTCTAACAGTTTTATCAGCTTTCAAACCCACTTGTGATGTTATATGTTTACCAAACATCTTTTGATGATTTTCTAGAGACTGCGGACTAATTATGTGTGATTTTTTTTCGCGGATTGGCTTCATGCCTGATCGTATCAAGATCTGATGGTATAGTTTTCGGATCTTCATTTGATTAAAAGTATTTTGTTTTTTTGAAACAATATTCAGAATGATATAAGTGTTAACATCCGCACTCGTTTGCGGTTGTTAATTTGGTCACGTGCGGTAACAAACACAACATTAAGTAAAAAGTTACTTAACTCAACCAAATTTCGCACTCGTTTGCATTAGCAGCGCTGTAACTTTTATAACTTTACAGATAGTGCATGTACTCCGCACCGGTTGTGCAGTAAGGTAAAGTTTTAATTTTTTGAGTACACATCACCTGCTTTCATGGCCAGTTTTCATGTGATAGAGGCACTGTTCTCTTCTTTGCACTAAGATACTAATACTCCATCTACACATGAAGACCCGATATCATCCTGTTCATCTACTCGATCGATAGATCTTAATTTAAAATTACAAATTTAACATGAGTTTGTTCAGATCTTAATACATGAATTCCAATTAAAAAACAAAGGCTTTACTACATCGAGAAAGCTTTTAATGAGTCTGAATACACATAATGATCTTGTAAAAGATTTAAAGAATTTAAAACTAGGAAATAAAAATCCAAACTTCAATTTTTAATTTGTATCACTTGATCCTAAAAGTCCTCCAATGATTGGTCTTTTAATGTTGATTTTCTTAAATATTGACCTCTACATAGCTATATGAATCTAGACATCTTTCATTTTCATCTGAATGGTTTGGAGTCGAGTTCAAGATGGTTGATTGACTTATTTCAATTGAAGACATCGATCGGTGTCGAACGTTCTCGAGTTGATTCATGCAACTGTAAGGCTTGGAATTCATCGTGTGTGAGTGGTGAAAAGGAGATATTGGTTGTTGACTTTGGTGTTGGAGGTCTGGTTGAGTTTTGTTTTTGGAGTCGAGTTGCCGGGAACAAGTCGTGATGTGTGATACCGCATGCGTTAGCCAATTGGTAAATTTACCGATTCGCTAACGCAAAATGACCGAAAATTAACTACCGCGGGGCTAATTTTTCACCGGTGTGGAAAAGACCCCGCGTTTGCGGTAAATTTAACCTTACCGCACCCGACTTACCGCACGAGTGCGGATGCTCTAAGGATATGAAATGTATATAAAATTTGAACACTGATACATACACATTGGATGAGGATAGAATGATCAATAAGCTTCTCAAAGTCGGTCCCATTTCTCTATAGACATGAACAAGTGATCAGTTAGAGGGAACCACTGTGTGTACTGCAAAAAAAAATATTTACTCCTTGGGCATCATAATGCTTAAGCCAAAAGTTTTGAATCTCAAGCCATAAATCATTCCCAATGAAATGATCCGGCCACAGATCCGAAGGTATGAGAAGCGAATGTTTAATGACTTTTGCTAATGGAGTGGGTAGATCTTGTTCTACAAGTAGGATAAAGCGAGTGAGGTATAGCGCATACCGTGGAAGCCCTTTGGTTCCGTGAGCCATTAGCGCCCACAACCGATAGATGACAAAAAGTCGTCCTACATCTCCTGCTTGCATTGCCTCACCAGCTTCAATTACCGTACCAAAATCCCGAATTCGCAGGCGCAAATTTTGAAGATAGATTTTTGAATGGGGAAGACTGGAACTTGAGACGTTGTTTGTTGAACAAAAAAGGTCAAAACATTTGTCAATCACGCTTTGTGCAACCCCTTCCTCAGCCAAGTCAATTGGTTTTCCCCATGTGTCAATAATGTGCCTGTTGAAATGAATGATCAAGGACATTTAGTTACCACATCACTTCACAGAGATGATAATCCAAATACATTACCTAAGACACGCAACTAAAGTTGCTGAGTGAGACTTATGAATCACTTGCAACACAGTTCCGAAGTCCATATTGCAAGGCAACTTGCTTTTCAACCCACCCAGAGATTGCCAAGTCTTCCACACACCCGTATCTTTCCGATTGTGAGGATCACCCCAATGGTGTGCAAGGAGACATTGTGCAACATTCCATTGAATGTGAGCAACTCCCGGAACCGTGATGACATTTTGAAGACTTTCTGATTTGACACCGGCAGGATTTCGTTTCTTCCGAAGACTTTCAACATTTTGGCAAGTACCTAAATCACCCTGAAGAATTTGTATGTATTTGGCCATTGAATCCACGGACATACCACACTGCTCAGCTAGATGCTTGAAAACTTGAGAAACTCCTTCGGCCGAGTTATCAGGAGCATCTATCAGTGAAAAAAGGAATTGTTTTGCATTATGACAAGGAATTTTTTCAATTTCCGGGGGAGAAGTAGTCATTCTGGTTTTAGGCTGTTGACCCGGCTTGATTATGTATTTATACATAGCTCGAGTAAGCTGAGTCTTCAGAGTGACATTCCAATGGTTGACATCGTCGGCTTTGGGTCGAAATTGTTCAAATTTTACCGGTATATTTTTGGCCAAAGACGTAGCTTTCAGGAAAGCTTCCAGTTCATAGCTTGAGCTATCTCCTTGAATTTCCTTCACCAAATAATCCGGGAGAAAATGAAAATAACCCCATGTACCATGGAATAGATGACTAGAAGCTTCAACTCTAAAATGATGAACTCTTTGTAAAATATCAAAATTATCAATACACAGTAACAGCCGTAAAGTATAGGTGCCAGACATAAGCCTTCTCAAAACGGATTGATGTGATTGTTGAAGAGATGCAAATGCCCGGTTGGCTGTTCTACAACTTGTGCTGATTCCCAGAGTGTGTAGGAATTTGAAAACCCTGGATGATACCCCAGTGGCAGCAAATGTCAGGGCATTGTGCAGCTGCAAGCCGTTTGCACGACGGTTGCACACAAACATAACCATAGAACAGATGGTGGTGGAGACCTACATAAGCAAGTTTAGTCCGTCAAAAGTCAGCCTCTTGACAATTTGAAAAATTATTACTACTGACCAGTGAAGCTCGGTTACGTGTCTTGGCACCAGAATCTTCCTCTGGTATGTATTCAATATTGTCGAGCTCGGGACATTCCACATCTATGTCCTCTTCAGTACTGGAATCAAAATCTGGTACACGTCTGTTGTTCTCCATGTTGTCCCATACATCAAAACTTGGGCCACCAGTGGTTAACATTGCCCGAGTTGATATAGCATTTGATAACTGATTGTACACTAGGGCATATAAAAATGGCATATCACTTTGGATGTGTGCATCCCGTGCCTCCATCTGTTTCGTGTCCAAGAAGTCAGGTTCTACTTTATTAGAACTAAAATATGATTGTGGCTTTGATTCCAAATCACTCGTGATGCACTCCTGTGCCTGATCAAACAAAACCAGATATCAGCGGTCAGGCTTGATTGAATGAATGAAGCTCATAATCATCAACAGCCTCAATCTTGACTTACCTCCGCAAGAATAAAAGCTCTCCATAATTCCAAGCTTTCTGACTTGTATTTTGCAATATTTTTGATACTATGAAGTATCTCCAAGGTAGAAGCCCATCCGGTAACACCCCATCGCCCACGCCTATGTTTAAGTACCTCGTCATTGGATGTTAAGAAGGCGTGAATTACCTCTTTTGGGGTTACACCACTACCCTCCAACGATTGGCACCACTTGAGCGCCAATAAGTCAATATGACGACGTGAGCGTATACTGGATTGATGAGAAGACATTTCGGACAAGGATGGTTTTCAAAAAGCAAGACCTCCCAATTTATTGCTCCTTTGCTGACTCTTTAACTCATTCTCAGTCATGTGGAGGCTGACAGAGACTAACTTGCAGTTGACAAGCGTCAAAAAGCTTTCTCTAGTGCATTATTAGAAAGTCGCTTGTGGCGGAGTCACACTAGTTTTGTTGACTCGTCCATCCGAGATAAATCACGCTCAACTACATAGTATTTACATAATAATCTACAGTACTCACAACATAAGGATGTCCAAAACAATTGGGTGTTTTTGTCACAGGCAGAAACTAGCGTACAAAAAGTAACCAAACAGACCACAATACAGGCCGGTGTTGTAAGAATGTTGAAGCCACATTTTTGGCTGCATCAAGTGGTTTGTCTACCATCTGAGGATATGAGGATGTGTAGAACAAAAATATGAACAACTTTGCCTGCAAGGTAAAGTTGTGTTTATCAGTGAGGCAAGCGGGAAAAAGCGAAAAACTACATAAGTGGACTTAACTCGTGGAGTCTCCGTGCCAGGAAATCACGATTAGTCCCAAGCCCCTCTGCGAGGCGCGCGGACGGGGCCGCGCAGAGAGGGCTTGTTCAAGCTAAGATAACGCATTCACAGCGGAACTTGTCCCAAGAGGGGTTGGCGCTGTTGGTCTACAATATGTATGTAATGCCCTACGGTCTTCTCCAGAACCATCCGAAGCCGAGGAAGTTTACCCCCTGGTAGCCCCTGGTGTACGTTGTGCCTCCTCCGGAAAACTTATATGTAAAGTATAATCAAGAAAAGAAATCCAATCACATCGAACTTGAATCAAAACTACAAATTAGAGTTTCGTCCCAAGAAAACACAAAGCCCGCATACAAAAAACGAAATTCACGAGAAGTACCAACAAGATAGTCAAGAAGAATACATCGAATACAAAAATGAGCGAAATTAAAATAGCGGATTCAGATCAATTAATCGATTCAAATCATATAGAAAAAGTTAGTACGATTGGAGTATTTGATTCGGAAGGATCTAAAAGACCATTTGGAGAATTAATCAGACATGGAACTAAGATTGTAATCTTCATAAGGTAAAATAAACAACCTTGAATTATTTTACAAACCCAAAAAATCAATCGCTTTCTATATTGATTGATTGACTGATTCTTTTTTCTTGTTTTGTTTTTGAAAACACATAGACATTTTAATTGTGGTTTTTGTCAAGATTATCTCATCGCAATTAAAGATAAAATGAGTAAAGAAAAATTAGGAGATCGAGAAATAATCGTTATAGGATGTGGAGATTGGTCAATCATAAAACCATACAAAGGTGAGTCTATCAAACAAACCCTCGTTACAAACCATCAAAAGAACTTACAGAAAAATTGATTTTGATCTTTTTTAGAATTGTTGGATTATCCATTTGAAATTTATTCAGATGATACTCGTCAATTGTTTGATGAATTAGGTATGATGTAAGTGAATTCCATAATCTTCAACTTTCAAATGCTCCATGAGGAAAAACTGATTCTAAATCCACCATTTTCGAAAAACAGCTGTAATTTATCCACAGGGGATGAAAAGCTTCATGGCCATTATAGTCAAGGAGTAGTTGCGACTGTGCTACATAGTATAGCAGTAAGCTTTGTATAATCCTCAACTTTCGGAACACCCCCTTTATTTTTCCTTTCTTCACGAAAACGTCAAAACTTATATCTTTTTTGGCTTTATTCATGGGTTTTGTTTAGAATGGTTGGAGAATGGGGATTAAAACTTTTTTACAAAGTGGTAAGATTTCTCAATTAGGTGGCGAGTTTATTTTCAAAGGTAAGAGTTTTCAAATCTGATAACCCTCTTTACTACTTAATATAATGGAAGAAACACCAAAAATCTAGAAACCAAAACTGAGTTTTGATCTTTTTATTAAAAATCTTTTGTCTTTCTTTAAAATCATTTTAATTTAGATAATGAATGTAAATTCGCACACAGGTAAGTTACCCTTTATACACCTTCTTTTCATTTCCAGTTCATTATAATTTTCTTGTTCTGATTGACATTTTTTTGGTTTTTACAATTTAAAAAATAGGATGCAAAATACACGAGATCATGTAGAGCCAGAAGATCTAGAGAAATTGATCTTACGATTTTAGGCCCTGTTTGGTATAACTTACAAAAACTGGGAGAAATTATTCAAAAATAATCTATTTTCTACTTTTTCAAACTCGTTTGTATGTTATCACTTTTGCCCCTCTTTTCATAATCCATTTTCCAACGGAAAATCTATTTTTTTGGTCAATAATGTGGTATTTTGAAAGCTTCTCAGGAGCAGTTTTCAAGTCCAATAATCTGTTACAAACCCCCAAAGAAGTGTCCAAGATTGGGACTCCATCAGATCAATCTTAATTTCTCTCCTCATTTGAGCCAGTACAAAATGTTCTCTGGGTGCTTGACAATCTAAACTGTGCACCTCACCTTTGCAACTCTTGTTTTGCAATTCCAAATTACCTTTTCTTATTTCTTATTGCCTGTCCCTAGACTTTGGGCTTTCAAATTTGACTTCTGAATCTTCTTTTCAACAAAAGAGGGACAATATCAAAACTCAACTGTGATACTCAATTATCAAAACAAAGCACAGAAATACTGGTGCCAACCACTTCAAAAGTATTGAAGATTGTGTTGTCATCTAGTATCAGTGGTATGCCACATCTCAATATAATGACCTCTGATATATCAAAAGTGCAATTTGTTTGTGGATGGTCACATGTGCAGAGGGTTTGATAGACTCATAGAGGCTCTAGTTTGTTCATAAAGATGATCAAAGGTGCACTTTTTTACTTTACAACCTTGACATAGTGGATATAATCCCATCCAAGGAGTTCTGTCATGTTCTGTCTCTTGATGTTGTATGTTGAGGATGATTGAATCCCCATTGTCTAAAATCATAACAATAATAGATTATGTATATGATTCATGGTGAATGGTAGTACATTTGAAACACCATCAATTGATGTTTGCTTTGAACACCAGTTTAATAAAATAAGGGGAGGGATAATTCTACACACACCCATTTTCACTTGATTATGTGGTGTAAAAAATGGTGCAAAATTCTCGTCACATTGGTTTAAGTTGAATTTTACACCCAATCAGAACCAATACCGGAACCGCTCCGATACGATACCAATTTCACCCTATCCTTGTATCGGAGCGGTATGGCCGCTATGATCACTCCGATATCACTCCGATATCTTTTTGTAAAAAAACTCTGCCAAGATATCGGAGCGGTAAAACCGCTCCGATACGCTATATAGCGGCGATATGGCTTGAAAAAACAAATAAAAAATAAATTACAAAAAAAACCTATAACCTTGATATAGTATGACTTGGTTTTTGGAGTAGTGACTGATCAGCTAAAAGACAATTGGTAAAACAGTCTAACAGAGGTGAAGATGAATGCGGAGAGGTGTTGAGAGGGACTTGCCAAAGAGGAATGAATGTTTTTGATTGGACGATGCGAGATCGAGGCCAGGTTGAAATGAATAGGTTTCAAGAACCTCCGAATTGCTTGATTGATTGAACTGAGATTCGGATTGCCATGAGAATTGCACATCCCAAGATAATGATGCAAAAGTTGCCAGCTTAATAGAATGATTTGTAATCTGTGACTTGGACAAGATAAAGTTAAATATGTCTGTTGCTCAAGTTTAAATAACTGAAGTTCTAATGAGATAAGTTCTTGAAATGATAGTCGATTAACACTCAATGGTCCTATTTGAGTATTCATCCTGGAAGCTTGTGAGAATTGTGAAATTGGGTCTGGTAATCGATCGGTGGCGAAGATGTTTGCTGATTCAAATAGTTGTTTCCAAGGATAGTTTGATGAGTTTTTAGCCAGTTTGAGTAATTTGATGGCGTTTTGAAGTTGAGATTGAATTGGTTTTTGTTCATGATGATGATAGTCTGAATGAAAGTTGATTGAGAATGGATTAATCAGCATCTTAACTTTCTTTTTATGGTTCTGATTGAGAATAAATTGAGTGCTTCGTTTGCAGACCATTGTTCTCCCTTTTCAATGACTGTTTTCATCAATCATTCACCCAATTCATTCCATTCCTCGCATTTTGTTTCTTCATTTAAGCTTTGGACATCTTCAACTTCAACTGGACGTTCTTGTTGTTCTTGAGTATTCTGTAATAATATTGTTGATTCGTTAGCTAATAGGTAAACAAAGTTGAGTTTTGAGATGCCGAGCAGGGTATGGTTTTGTCCGATATATTCCAATATATATCAGATAAAACTCGGACCCAGCCGGTATTGGAGCGGTCACTCCAATACCTGATTTTCAACATCTGGATGGCGGAGCGGAGCCACCGCTATATATAGTGGTGAATATAGCGGTCTCAAAACCGCTTCGATACCGCTCCAATACCGCTAAAAGTTGCGGAGCGGTTCCGGTGTTGTCAGAACTTTTTCAGTTGGTGTAAAAAATCTCTCAAAAAGTTTTCAGCCAGCCACAATATTCAATGTTTCTGGTGTAATAGTTTGGGTGTCAAGATCTTTTTATGCAAGGTCAATTGGAATTTCACACCATATATTTTTTGCACCCAATTTTTCTGTAATTTTATATTTGAATCATATTTACAAAGCCTGCACCTCAGAAGTCACAAGTAAACCATCAAAACAGAACATTACATGCACAAGCAATTACATCAGCAGAAGGGGTACAATTACATCTGCAGGATATTGAGACACAAAAAAAGTACAATGCTGAAATTTTGGGAAAAATAGAATTGAGGAAAAGAGACGGAGAGAGAGACAAAGAGAATGGGAGGAAGATAGTATATAAACAGGATGCTCAAGGAGCATAAGAGAAAACCAAAGGGTAATATCACCAAGTTTTTGCTTTTTTGGATGACTTGTGCTTTGCTGCAGTAGTGTTGTGCTTGTCTTCTGCAAAAAATTTTGGTGTAGTGACTGTTGCCACAGCAGTTCTGCCTTTCCTTCTTTGATTTCTTCTGGCTACTGATACAGGATAGAGAATCAGAAAGAACCTAATAATGCAGTAGTTAAAAAATATGCAATGTGCCTGGCTTTACATTTCTGGTTCTTATTTCTTTGGCAGCAGCATTGGGTACCTTTACACTACACCAAATCAATAATTTACCGTGGAGTTTAGAAAAGTAAAAATGTAGAAAATTTTCAGCAATGCGTGAGAGGTTAGAAAAATTTGATGAAATTATGGTTTAATTGCCTGTGGTGTCCCATCATTCTTCACATTTTTTCATATTTTTACCTGCAGTTTTGAAGATGTTGCAAAGAAAAATGATTTGGGGTATATCTTGTCAGAAACTCAGATTTTGTCCAAAACTACCAAGGCTTGGGCAGAAACTTTTGAGCACTCACAAATACAACAATTTTCCTGCCATAAATTTGGCAGTTGCAAATTATGAAAGCCACACACTGGGTCTACAGTTTTGATTTGAATGCTAAAACCATTACAGCAATGTTTTATAAGCTTTTCTAGCTTTGCTGATGAGGACCGTGATTGCCGCGCTTTCTGTGTTGTTGGACACACACCACTCATTAAAATGTGTATGTGGTAGAATAAACATGTAGCATTCAAAATGTGGAGACATTACAGATTTTGATGCACATTTGACAATTATGTTGCTCCCACAAGGTTAATGCCTCAATGACTGCCAGTTTTGGACATAAACTGAGTTTCTGACCTGATATACACTGCTGCCCTAAAAATCTGAAAAAATATGCAAAATGATGGGCACACATGGGGGGACGCATCCCTTATTTTTCCACATTTTTCTGACCCCTTCCACCTTGTGTATAATTTTCTATGTTGTCTTAATTTCCTAAACTCAGCGGTAAATTTTCAATCTGGCGTAGTGTTAACTTTAACTAGATCTTGGATTAAGAGGGTCTTTCTGTTGTGCACTCATCCATGTCATCTTCAGTAGGACTGCTTGGCAGAAGTGAACCTTCTTTAGTTGGTTGGTAGATCAAAATTTCTGTGAAAACTTTTATGAAAGGAAGACCTCCCCCAAAAGGTGCTGAGTCTGGGGGTAGGGAGAAGGGAATTGATGGATTATGATTGGGAAAAGTCTTCATCAATTCAGATATTGAGTCTTTGATTTGATTCCATTTGGCTTCAAAAGGTACATGTCTGTACATAGCACACCCAGCTGGTTTGAGGAGCTGGCCCAGAAATTGTGCAAACATTGGGAGCCAAGAGTTGGGCTATCCCATTGTTGAAATCTTTTTCAATATGCCAGACTCCCAGTATACTTCCAACCAACTGCACCACTTTGCACCAATAGTGGTCATTTCCCAAATAGCCATGAGTAAACATCACATAGTGAGGCTCACCAATTGAAATTTGTGCTGGCCAGTTGGTTTCACACATGAAACTTGCGCGCATGTCAGGATACAATCCAACTACTCGATCTAACAAAAAATATAAATGCATTGGTGCTGAAGAGGGTTCCATGATCTTGATTTGACTACATCTATCCATTAAATTGGGATTCAGAGGATGGGCTATGGTCAGCACCTGCAACATACCATGAGTCCTGTTTGAGTGAAGATTTCATTGCTTGTCCATTTGTACAACAATAATCCAAGGTCAGGATATGGGAGGGTGGCTTGTTTGAATTTTTTGGTGGTAATGTGAGAGACAGGGTTGATCACTGTTGTGGTCATATTATGGTCTGGGTCTACAGGACATATCAAAGTCTTGGTGTACAAGATTCCAAAAAGTGGTTTGAGTTTTTCTGAGTCAACAGTTTTTCCATGAAACAGTCAGCAGAAGAAAACACATTCAAATTGAAAGAATGCTCTGCTACAATTAAGATGGAAGTGTGCAATGCATTCTGCCCTTCACTCCAGTGACAAAACTTCCTCATTGTACATCATGTGAGTTTGATGTATGAAATTTCAGAGGCAAGATGGGATTCTAGGAAAAGCAAGTTTCTTGAGACCCTCTTGGTCTACAAACCTTAACAATATTCTACCATCAAAAAGCCAAACACCAATCTCTTACCAAGGAAGCACAAAAGAAAGATAAAAAACATGCTCAATTGATGTCTAAAAGTATTTCAAGAGATAGATTAGAGATATTCTTGAAATAATGCCTCCTGTCTCTGATCACCAAGACATATGTTGCCCATAGCTGTATAATTCTCAGCTATGTCTTTTGGAGGTTTCTCTTGATGTCAATCCCAATCTTGAAGTAGGCCTCTTTCCCAGTTGCCATTTTTCACAAAGTGGTGTACCACACAGCATGTGGCAAGCCACTTTGTGAGGTGCATAGCAGACCCTGGAGTCTTTATAACAATTCAAGCCTCTTTACAGTACTAAGTCCCACCTTTTCACATGATTTTGGTGTGTTTTGCTGCTATTCAAGCCATACTAAACTCAAAGTTGAAGTGTTGCTGTGGACATTCAAGCTTCTTATTTCCTGGCTTTTTGAAAGCAGGAATAATTTGCTTTAAAGTACTGTAGCCTGAGTCAGCTAACAGATAATTTCCTGGACTAAAATGAATTGCATTTTTTTTGTAAAACTGAACAAGATATCAGTAACTTATCCAAAGCATAAAACCAAAATGAAACAATAAAATCAATTTTAACTCAGTTGATTTTAGGAATTGTTGATTGTGTGTTCATGATGAGCATGTATGATCCCTCTACAATGATCATATATGATTGAAGAATTTGCCAAATAATTAGCCTTTGGGCAATGATAGTCCTTGCTGTTCTTCTGGGATGCATAGGCTAGTGTTATGAGGGTCCCATTGATTACACCCAAGCAGTTCTTGAAAAAAGAATTTCCTCCTATCTCAGCGCTGATGAGCTCTTGTTAATACGTTGAAATGTATAGCCTCTGACAACCCCTTCTAAAGACAGTCATCAGTACGCAATGAACTCAATCAATTCAAGTGAATTTAGTCTCCCCTACCATTTTGAATAATTTAACAAAGAATTGACACCACCCCCTGTTTGCAGACAGTCCAAAGTTAGCCAAGGTAATCAAGAGCCACCATGCAACTGGAGCTTACAGGCAGGTCAGATTGTTATGGAAGATAGTATTGGAATTTGGTAGTGATGTCATGTACAAGGGCCAGGGCCATGAAGGTTTCATTTAAAATGTGGGCCTATCAGAGATTCACAACAATGCAAAAAAACAGCATATTTGAAACTGAAGTAAGAAAACTCAATTTATGTACCACAACACTCTACTGCCAATCAGTATTATAGAACTGAATTCACCAAATCATCCCTACTTCTTGCAATGGCTTGAGAGACAATTGAGCCTAGGACCCAGATACCCTTTTCCTTTGAGCAAGCTTTCTTTAATCCAAATGCCACAATTGTGAGTGTTGCTTTGTCCTCTGTGGAACAATACTTGCATGGTGTATGGAATGGTGCTGCATTGAAAGTATTTTCTAAAACTAAGTGACACGCCATCAAAAGGAGGTGGTCTTGTTCACTTGTATCTTCATCCAAGTCAAGCTGATTCAAGGATACTGACTGTTGCAAAGATTGTAGTGAACCCGGTGGGGCTCTTGTGTGATTGGTGATACCTGTTGGCCAAAGATACTACTTCAATTGCAAAGAAACACTCCAAGCAGGCCAAGACATGGGAGGGCGAGGTTTGGCATTTGTGCTGGTAGAGCATTAACAGGTATATTTTGGTAGTGGTAGAGAACAAGTGAGTGGGTGATTCAAATCTGGATGCTTGGGTCTGACACTAGTTGACTTCTTAACCCAGTATAGCCAGTACGGTCAAGAATTTGAACAGTGGGTAATCTAATAATTTTTAATATATTGTTCAAAAATCCAAAAGTCCTTACAAAACAGGACCTGATTAATCCTAGATATTTCTCTTTTGTTTTCCTTTCTATCAATTTAGGGGAAAAAATCCATTTGGTTCTCTTATTTTTCATTTGAGTTTTGTGTGAATACTCTGGTTCTATTTCTTTCTTTTTAATGGTTGTTATTCTAAATCATATGTATAAATCAAATTCAAGGAAGAAGAAAAAACACTATTTTGATTGAAATTAATTTCTTGGTTTGGTTTTCCTGTTTGATCAGGTTTCTCTTTTCTATTTTTTTATTGGATATGCTTATTTGGATATAGGGTGAAGGATAACTTGTTACGTAATCATTTGTATAAAGTATCCTTTAGATTTGAATCTATTTAAGCTCTTTATGAGATGAAACAAAGAAGGTAAGTTGATCATGATGAATGAAAGTTGATGAAGAATATAAATCCGTCAATTTTACCAATGATCAGCTCAAAGAAATTCCATTTCAAGATGATACTTAACCAAACCAAGTTATTTTCAAAAAAAAAAAAGATGAAACAAGGTGAGATGAGATTGAATCAAAACGCTTGAAACCTTCAAGCCATTCGAATTCCAAACCATTGCCTGGTCAAACCATCTTCGACAACACACTTAAGTCGTTAAGTACACCTAACACGTTTAAGTCCTCGAGGTTTTCACCTTTAAACTCTCTCTCTCTCTCTTCTCTCTTTCTCTCTCCATCTCTTCGTAACCAAACCAATTCAACACTGCCACATCACATCCACTCAATCTCAAGTTCATCATCAACCCATCAACTCCAATCTAACCAACCCGTATCCCTCATAAAACCTCATTCATCAAATGGTAAACCTCTCAAAAAACCCCAATCCCAACCCAAACCCAAACCCAAATCCAAACCGAAATAAAAACTAATCTTTTTCTTTTCTTTTAATAGTGTTTCTTTATCCCATTACAATTCGGTTGTCCAACCAAAATCTCACAAGTAGAGGACCAAAAGAGTGGTAAATCCAAATCCCATACTCTCCCTCTCTGTTCCATAAACCTCACCTAAAAGCAACCCAAAAAAAGTTTAATATTGATTATTTTGAATTTTTTAATAGATATCAGAATTTGTCCTCAGTGTCATAATGGTTCAGTATACACATGTAAAACAGTAAGCCCAATCCAATCCAATCGCATCCAATCCAACCCAAACCTAACTAATCTTGAATATGTGTTTTTTCGTTTTTTCCAATAGAGAACATGGTTTGAATTTTGTTTTGTACCATTGATCCCATTCAAATCAAAACAAATATGGTTATGTAGTATATGTAGATGGCAAGCCATCAAAGATGAAAATCCGGATAATGGACCTCCCAAAGTTCCGGGAAATCCTACTAATAATAATACTTATCAAACTCAAGTTCCTATGAATTTAGGATCTAAACCTACTACTTAATTTGTTTTTTGGATAGCTTTTCCTTTTTTGTTGGTTTGTTTTTTGGATTTGTTTTTTTGGATTTTTTGGATTTCTCATGAAGATCGTTGTTCTTTTCTTTTCACTGTTCTTTGGATCATGCTTAGAATTTAATTTAATTTATCTTTTAAAACAAAACAAAAAACAAGAAACATACTTTCATTCTCATCTTCTGCAAAGATCAAAAACCATTAATATTTTCTCTGAACATCTTTTTGATCATTCCTCTTTCCAAACTAGCTTTGGTGAGTACATATAATCTTTGAGAAATTGTGCCAATCTCGTGTGTTTCTTGTTTTTTGATTTGTTTTTGATTTCAATTAAAAAGATATCTAAAAACATCCAACATCTCCAAAAATCTAATTCTCAACAAACGATAAGCTCTCCAACCTCCAAAAAAAACAAGAAAAGACAATTAAATTCTACAAACCTATTATACATTCCTAAAAAAACGCATGCCCAAGAAAGACCCAAAGATGATCATAAAGCCAAAGACGTAATCATAACCAAATCAAATCTTCATGATCCATCCCATGAATCCCAACCCTTCCAGACCCCAAGCCAACTCCAGCTCTCGTAACAGAAACTTTCCTACCATTCGCACTACCAGGAGTAATCCAACTTCTACCAATCCCTGTAATTTCTCCTTTCCCTTTCTTTTCCTTTCCTTTTAGCTTTCCTTTTCCTTCAACTTTGCGATTTTGATGATCATCAGGAATAGTAATCAAAGGAACTAAATTCAAAACACTTTGGTATCTTCTTCTAATAAATCTATGGGTCAATCTTCTGGGTCCGTTCTTTAGATTTATAGTGTCTTCTTTCGGTTGAAGTCTTGATCTTTTGGGTAATAATGATTCGATCGGATCGTGTGAATGGTTCAGTGGTGTGGGTGAAAAAGGATGTGAGGTTGGTAATTTGTTGGGAATCCGATTTTCATTTGGGATAGGTCTGATTGGATTCAATCGGTTTGGAGTTGGATTTGGATTTGAAGATAGGTTTGATGAAAAAGAGTATCGAGGTGTACCGGAGTTTCCTTTGATGGACGATTGTGCAATCAACTCTTGTAACATCTTGGACGATTCTTTCAAAATTTCAACCGATAAGTCAGTTCCAAACTCATCCAGAATCCTTTTAGAAACTTCTTCAAACGTTTCAACCTTTCGAATCTTTTCATCCTGAATAACTCCTAAAGGAGCCCCAATCAATCCATCAATCCATTTCTTTTTCAATTTGTTTCGATGATTAATTTGTCTTGAAGAACACATGATGCCCATCCCATTAGATTTACCTAGATGAGTTAAATCAGGTTGGAATTCGGTTGGTAAATCTGACCATACAGTCGTGATGATCGAAGTAGGTGAAATGGATTGTAAATCAACTTGACTTGGAATCGTTCTTAACTGATTAGACTGTGAACTGGTGATTAATTTGGTTAAGATAGGTGGATAAATTGGAAATCGGGTTTCTGGATACCTTAAACTTTTGGGAATTTGTTGAACTGATGGTATTAAATATGGCTGTTAAACAAATCATTTAGTTTGACTTTGGTTTTGGTTTTTGGGTTTGAGTTGGAAATCTTATCTTACATTTATAAACTTTTCTCTTCTTTCTCCTTTTCTTGCAAACGCTTCTTTAAGTAAATCTTCAAACATTAATAAATGTCCAGAATTAGCTGCTGCTACTTTCAATCTAATCTTCATCCAAAATCAAAAACCAAAACAAGTTCATCAGGTTTAGGTTTTTCATTTGGATTAAGAAATTCGATCAAATCACTTACTTACAGTTTCTAAAAAATGAATCGATTTGAGTATTCTACTTTGAACTCTTTTCGGATGATTCCCATATGGTCTTTTACATCTTTTATGCAATAAATTCAAAAGATAAGATCTACAATATATTTTTTCATTGAAATTGATTAGTTTTTTCTTGGTTTGATTTAATAAGAAGTTCAGATGTACCTTGTGATTTTGTCTGGAAACTTTCTGATTTCTCGTAAGTAAGATCTAATGAATGGGAAATGAATCGGATTTAAATTAGTGGTCATCTTGAGTCTGATGGTGGTTTCATGAAATGCATTCCAACGAGAAATGGATTGGCTTTTGGTTTGAGTGAGACGAATGCCTTTTGTATTCCCATACATACCTGCCGATTTCATAACCCATGATATTCATACATTCATCCATCATTTGATCTTGTTTGGTCGTATATGATGTAGATTGGATCAATTCTAAATCTCCTGAAACTTCAACTTATGAAAACATTGTTAATCGTACTTCAAGCTCTGCTCAATCTAAAACCATTGATTCCTTTTTCTTACATCCTACCATTCACTCTTTCAGGATGTATTTAGATTAATTTCTTGAGATATAATCATTTTTGATCAAGATTAAAAACGACACTCAAAGAAAACAATCGGTTTTAGGATAAATAAACAATTTAAGATTTTCTAAAGTTGTGAAAAATTCCATTTAAATTCATTCAAATTATAATACGAATGAAAATAAACTCAAAATTATACATACATAGAGACTCAAGAAGAATGATCAAAAGTTTGGGTGAAAATTTTGAAGAGAGTTAAATCAAATCGATTTAGTGATAGAAATATATATTTTAATTCAAATTCTGTTAGATGTTTTGCTTTTTTTGTTGCATATTTGATAAGTTTTATAATATTTTGTCTATGAATTTCGAATCTTATATATCAAGTTTGAAAAAATCTCGACAAGAATAGATGTGTAAAAGTGTAGAACCAGAGGTGATGTAAATAAATGTTTATAGCCGGTGAGCCAGTTTATATATACAAATGATATAGTTTTTAATTGAGGAGTATCAAATCTTGGGTAGATTAAATATGACTATCTCTTTGAGAGGGAATCGTGTCCAAGTCCGGAAGTCTTCAAATGTACATATTGAAACGGCAAGGGTTACAAGAAGATCAGATTTGAATGAACAGACTCGATAGATGCGATGCCTATTCAGTGATTAGCATCTTATTTCAAGGGGGGATGGTCCTACTTCAAAAACACTAAAGTGACGTTTTTCAAGGTTTGGGTCAAAAAGGCGCGATAAGCTCATTTATTTCTCAAGTAAACGAGAGGTCAAGGTCGGTCCATTCATTATTTGAAATCTCATCTCAATGGTCACATCAAAAGAAACGAACAGATAAAGCAAACCAACTCCGTTTGAAAGATAAATTTTTTCTTGTTTAAATAAAAGAATCAAAAATATTTATTCGCAAATATCAAAGAGTTATGAGTTCAAAAAAATGAAAAAAAAATCACAGAAGGAACGTATTAAAAGTGTATCACTGAAATATTTAGATCTTTTTTATACCTTTTGGATGTCCTTCTACAAACAGATTTGATATTCGTCTTAGTCTCCTTCGATAGGGGTAGCAATTGAGGCTTCAAGCACTGTTTGAATGGAAGAAGGATCAGTAAGATGTAATGTTCAGATGATCAAAGATCGATTGACTTACTTTTTTTATCAAGTCCGATATCCAGTTATACCTCCAAGGAAACCAAAAAAAAAAAAGAAACGCGCCAAAAATAAAGTCTTATTTGAACTTTTTTTTAAATAAGATCAATCAGAATGAAAAGCACTCAAGTCCCATTCGGAACTTTCATCAGCAAGCGCCAGCTCTTGATCTCTAAAGTTCAGTAAAGCTTGAGCGATTTGAGAAGCAGAGAAATCAGAGTCTTTGGGTTGAGAACTTTGAGTGGGTTGAATGAAATGTTGATGATGAGTAGGAATGTAACCGTTTTCAAAGATCACTGCATTACGTCTTCGTCGAGTGGGGGATGTACCACGAACAACTGAAGGAAGTCCGTCTTCCACAAAGATGGCGTTGCGATTGCCAGTCAAGACCGCATTACGTCTTCTTTTAGCAGGAGATGAAGCAGAAGGAATGGAAGAAACGGAAGGAGAGGAAGAAACGGAAGGAGCAGAAGGAAGAGAAGGAGCAGAAGGAGCAGAAGGAGTAGGAGTAAGAGAAGGAATAGCAGGAGCAGAAGCCAGACCATGTCCTAATAAAACGGCATTGCGTTTTCGAGAACGTTGAATGAACGTTTGATCGAATTCTAGAGGAGGATGTTCAGGAGAGATAGGAGTGCTCTGGAGAACATCG